CTATTTCTTGGTGAAGCTTTGGGGTGGTTTGGGGGTCAGTTGGTCACTGGGCCTGCCCAGTCCCTCCAAACTGCCTCTGCCCCCCAAGTCAGGTTCTGGGTTGTAGAGAGGGGGTCAGCCCCCGCATTCCAGCCTCACAGGCTTCCATCCTGACCTACTCTGGCCTCCAGAAACTGGAAGGGGGAGGCACCCTTTCACTCCCAGAGGAGGTAAGGAACCACAGGGGAGACTGGGCCTCTGTTTTTCTTTCCCCTGCAGGGCAGCTCTCCCCCGCCCATCTTCAAGTTGGCAGCTCAACACCAGGGCCTCATTCTGGTGCTAAAAATAGGCTGTGTTTAGACACTTTGAGGCTCCTGCTGGAAACATGAACTGCAGTAACCGAATGCTGCCACTCCAACAAAGGGGGCCTCTCAGCCTCCTTCCTATGGAGGGAAGCTCACACCAGCCCTGGGAGGAAGGCAGAGTAGAGGTCGTCCACCACATTTAACAGATGGGGAAACTGAGGCTCGGCGAGGTGTCATGTAAAATGAAGAGGGGTGAAGTCGTGATAGCCAGCCCTGTGGATTGTCTCATTTAAATCCTCCCCACACACCTGGGAGGGCCATTCTATGGTTTACTTAACTTTATAGAGAGAAGATGACAGCTCAGAGAGATGAAGGCCCCTGTCTGGGCCTCACACCTGCAAGTGAGTGACGGGAGGGGTTGTTAATACAATTATAATCCTCAACATGTTATGAACAAATGGAGACAGAGAGAAGTGGCTTGCTGAAAGCCAACAGCCTTCATCTCACTCAGGGTTGTAGACACATCATTTATGGATTGGGAAGAAACATCACACCTGCCTCGCAGCTATCCCCACAGGGAGAAATATGGGAGAATGTATTTATAAAACCTTCAAACACAGTGTCCAGCATATAGTAGGTATTCAACAAACGCAGGTAGTTTTGTTTCCCCATTCCCTTTGAGGCAGGATTTCTGTCTGGAGAGAGATAGTAGAAAGAGAGACGACAGATAGACTAAAGAGAGACTTGGAGAGAGGCAGGAGAGAGAGAACAACAGATGGATGTGGGAGGCAGGGGAGTCTGGGATACCTTTGAGGAACTGGGGTTCTGGCTCAACCAAATCCTGGAATTCCTGAACCCCAGAACCACCCAGTGCTGAGTATCGCAAGGCGCTGCCTCCACAGAGCCCTGGATTTGCAGTTCTCCAAGGCTGCCACCTGAGTGTTTTGGCCAGCGTGTGAAGCCATGGTTGTAGGTGTAAGCCCTGGGGGGATAAGCCTGACTCTTTTTACTTGTTTTCTCTATCAGTGTTTCTTGGGGCCCTCCTATGTACAAATAGTCTTATTGCCTCTGTAAGGCTCAGATTCCAGGGGGCTCTTCCTCCGGGCAAGCCCCCGCCTCCTCCTAGCACTGGCAGGATGGTGTGGGGTGGCTCAGGTCAGCACCTTCCCTCCCCAGGAGGAAAGGGAGCTCTTAAAGTCGGGGGTGGGCACAGCCCCTCTGGCAGATCTCCTTCGTTTTCCACATCACCGATGCCTCAGTCTCTTTCTGTTCCCTGCCAGCCCCTAACAAGCTCATTATCCTCTTAAAGCCCATTTGGCACCCACTTAGAGAAAAGATGTGTTGAAATATAAAAGAACAGGAGGGAACAACAAAAAAGGACTAGACCCAGAAATATCCTCAGAGAGGCAGAAAGCCACAGGGAACACTACAGCTGAAAGCTTTGCTATCTTTCAAGTATCTCACATGTGCCCGGGAGGGGGCGGGGGCTTTTCTTGAGCATCTCCTATGTGTCAGGTATCCCTCCTACAATGGTTAATTCAGTCCTTCCAGCAATATATTTTTTGAGGGAGAAGTCAAGATTCTTTAGGCCACTTTACAGGTGAGGAAACTGAGTCTTGCTGAGAAGAGATGTCTTGCTCCAGTCACTCAGCTGCAGGATGGAAGAGGCAGGATTTGAACCCAGGTCTGTTTACCTGTGATGGAGTCCACCTCTGCTCTTGCCTCAATGGCTCTGGAAGGGATGGTGTCCCCTTGCCCATCACACAAGGACTGCTGGCTTTTTCTCGTCTTAGCCCAGCTGCAGAAACATCTGGCACGTGTTGGCACGATCATGAAACCTCAGTGGATTCTCATGTGCATTCTTAAACCACAGTCCCGACTCCTGAGCTTGGCGTCCATGGCTTCCCATGGTCTGGCCCCTGCCCACTGCTTGGTTGTGTTCCTACCTCACAGTCCCCCAAGCTCCTTTGTTTCTTCCACCTCAGTGATGTGCCCTTATGTGGGCTGTTCCTCTTCCCTGGGCTAACCTTCTGTTGCTCCTTCACCCAGAGATTTCTGACTCCTTTTGCAAGACCTTCTGGCTCAAAGACTCCTCCCTGGGGAAGCCCTCTACAGTACCCCCAGGCAGTTGCAGACCCTAGATTCCCTGGGCTCCCACATTCCATGGCTTCTCAACCCAGGATCCAACCCCCCCACCTTGATATTTTAAGCCAAATTCTGGGAGCTTATGTGCAAGGGCTTTTTTTTTCTGGGCATACATCTGTAGTTGCCATGAGATCCTCAAAGTTACAAGACCAGAATAGACACACAGTTAGGAATATAGGCTGTGAAGTCAGGTGACCTTGGTTTACAACCCTCCTGCCACTCGTGACCCCGAACACGTTATCTAATCTCTCTCATACTCATTCCCCTCTTGTGTAAAAATAGATGCATGTCTCCCTCATAGAACTGTTTAAATCAGAGTATGTGTTTGTGTAGAAGGATGTCTGGCATGTATTAAGTGCCGAATAAACATTAACTATTAATGTTTAAATTAATATTGATTGCTTATCTGTATCGTGTACACACATCTACTATGGAATTTATAATTGTCTGTCTAGCATAGTGATTGTTTACGTTGCTTTCTCCCTCAGTTGACTCTGAAGTCTCTGAAAGCAGGGACTGTGAATTATTTATTCCTGCATCTCAAGCACACACATAGTAGGTGCTCAGCATATGTTTTTAAATAAATGGAACAATGAGTGGATAACTGAATGGGTGGACAGTCAGACAGATGGACGGATGGGCTGCTACAGTTCAGATGGATAGATGAATGGATGGACAGTTAGATGGATTAATGAATAGATTAATGGTAGGTGGATGGATGGCTTAATGAATAGATGTGAGGTGAACTGCTGGAAGACAAATGGATGGATGGATGGGTGGATGAATGGATAGATGGGTGAGTGAATGGGTGGGTGAATGGATGGATGGCATAATGAATGGATGGGAAGGTGGACTGCTGGATGACAGACAGATAGATGATGGCTTAATGAATGGATGGGTAGGTGGACGTTGGATGACAGACAGATGAATGGTTGGATGGGTGGATGGATGGATAGATGGATGGTTGGCTTAATGAATGGATGGGTAGGCGAACTGCTGGATGACAGATGAAAGGGTGGGTGATGGATAGATAGTTGGCCTAATGAATGGATGGGTATGTGGACTGCCAGATGACAGACGGATGGATAGTTTGACTTTACAAAGGCATGGATTTTTGTCTGTTTTGTTTACTTACTTATTCCAAGTGTCTACAAAGGTGACTGGTGCACAGTATGTACTCAGTACTCAGTTCTTGAACAAATGGGATGGCAGACTCTGCATTGAACCACAGTTAAATGCCCACACTACTGTCTGGATTAGCAGAGGCTGTTATAATTCATTTCTTCCATTGGCTGACTACAGAATCTTAGGCGTTGGCTAAGATGGTCATGGGGCCCCCTGCTGGTGATAATATGAAAAAGCATTGCCTAAATGGAGTTTTATGTTTTCTAATTTACGTTCTATTTTTCCTCTTAACTGATAATCCTGAACATTTACTCATAAAGCTGTAGTTGTCAACCCTCTGTGCTCATTACCATTATCTGAGAGCACCTGGTTACATCTGTGGGTTTCCCCCTCAACCAGACATTCTGGTTAGAAAGTCTAGGGATCTATATTCACCAGGCTCTCAGGTGGTTCTGAATCAGTTGTTTCTCAGACCCACACCTGAGAGACCCTGACAAAGAGTGAGCCATGCTGGTAACTGGGTGGCAGTGAGGAAGGGCTACTGTTTTGGGAGTTGTCTCTGAATTCTCAAGTGATGTCCAGACTGTGGGAAAGAGGCAGAGCCAAAGAGGCACTGGTTAAGAGCTGTGATTTGCAATTTGGACTGTCCTGGGTTCAAATCCCAGCTCCATCACTCACCAGCTGTGTGACCTCAGTTTCCTCATCTGTAAAGCAGGGAAATAGTTACCTCCCATAGGAATGTTGGAAGGAATAAATGAGACAATAAGTACAGACTGCTGGGCACAAAGCTGAGCACATGGTAGACACTGAATGAACAAATATGCTGCAAAATAACCCTACTCTCCCTCTTTGTCGTTTTCTTCTTTGGATAGAGGAGACGGGCTATGTATTATATTTCTCCCACTAGAATGTAAGCGCTATGAAAGAGGAGATTTTCTCTCTCCAGCTTGCAGCTTTATTTCTAGCACCTAGGACAGTGCCTCACACAAAGTGGGTCTCGCGGAATATTTGTTGGGAAAAATAAAATGAATGAATCTGGTCTGGTTCAGAATCACCCAGGTTCAGCAGGTAGTTCAGCAAGGACCTTGGAAGTATTTTTTGGACTTGAGGTAATCCATGGATCAGTGTATATTTGACAAACATATAGGAAGAATGGAGCAAAGCAAACCACTGGCCCATAGCTTGTCCAAGACAAAGTGTGTCACCAAACTAGGGCCCTCTAGGATCCAGGCCCCCACATTCCCAGTTTGGTTTCAAGAAAAAGGCAGTGTTCTAGAAGACGCATGGATGCTCTTTATCCAGCACTGCTCTTAAGCCCTTTTGTGCCATGGGTGGTTTCCTCCCCTCTCTGGGCCTCTGCATTGCCCTCCAGGATGCTTAAGAACCCTGTGGGTTCTGTGCTTTGGTGAAAGGGCTTCTCATGCCTGTGTCTCTGCTGTTTTGCAGGTAGCAGCACTGAGTCCTGATGCCTGACTGGATGGAAACCTATCAGCTTCTGTTCCCATGAGGTAGACAGGCCTTAGTCTTCAGCGGGGAAAGAGGCCAGAAACAAGGACCCCGGTGAAATAACCCAGATTCCTTGGTCTGAGAAGCAGAGGAAGGACGAGAAGTGAGCTGCAGCTGCTGGCGATCCTCAGAAACCTCCAATTGCTATTCTCACCGTTCTTTGGGAACACTCTGAAGTGAAGAGCAATATGTAGGAAAATGGGACCGAATCATGTGTTTCCTGAGCCTCAAAACCTCTTTCTTGGCCCAAAGAAGCTCACCTTGACTTTGGGAGGGCAGGTAAGCTCCGTCCTTCCCCATGGCCTCAGCGAAGCTTTGAACTCACCCCCCCCTTCTGGCCTTTGGGATTACTTTTTCAGGAAGAGTGAGACTGAGGACCCCCAAGTGTTCCATCCCTAAAAAAAGCTTGGGAAACCAAGCCCCTTCCATCCCCTCCCAAGCATCCCAGCCAGTCCCCAGAGAGCCAGTCCGGAATGATCCCGCTATGGCGAAGCTCTGGTTCAAATTCCAGCGGTACTTCCGCCGGAAACCCGTGCGCTTCTTTACCTTCCTGGCACTCTACCTGACTGCCGGGAGCCTCGTCTTCCTTCACTCTGGCTTTGTGGGCCAGCCCGCCGTCTCGGAGAACCAGGCGAACCCCGCCGCCACAGGAGGCCTGGCTGAGGGTGCTGAGCTGCCCTTCCTGGGCGACATGCATCTGGGCAGAGGCTTCCGGGACACAGGTGAAGCCTCAAGCATCGCTCGCAGGTACGGACCCTGGTTCAAGGGCAAGGATGGGAATGAGAGAGCCAAGCTTGGCGACTACGGTGGAGCCTGGAGCCGAGCCCTCAAGGGGAGGGTCGTCCGGGAGAAGGAGGAAGAGCGAGGTAAGAGCGAGGAAATTCTGGACACCGAGGGGCCGGGGAGAAAGGAGGAGACACTAATAATACAGTAACAGTTGTCAGTTTTCAGTGTTTGGTCATATAATTGTAGCTATAAATAGCTAGTAAGTTCCATTATCATCCACATTGCACAGAGGGGAAAATTGAAGCTCAGAGAGATGAAGCAACTTGCCCAAGGTCACACAGCTTGTCGACCGGCAAGTTTGGATTTGGACTCCACATCGATCAGAGGTCAAAGTCTGCTTCTCCCCTGCAGCCTTTCATAGTCCTTGTTAAATATATGTGAAAATAAAAACAGTCAGCATTAACTGGGTACTTACTAAGCATCAAGTACTGTTTCCAAGTACTTTACATATGTAGAAATGTCACCACAACTCTACGTGATATTTATTCCCATTTAAAGATGAGGAAACTGAGGTACCAGGTACCAAGAGCACAAGATTTCATAGCTAAGTGGCAGAGCTTCTGCTCCACCAGACTGTCTCTCAGTCCACCTTGCTGGGTCCCTTGGTGATGGTTCTCAGGGGATATCACTGCCATGGATAGATTTCATTGCATTTTCTCAGCTGTTTATAATCTAAAAAGGCTTTTCTTCTTGAGTGCATTACTTTATTTGATTTTCACTGCACCTCATGGGCTTAAACAAGGCCTCTATGATCCTGTGCCCAGTTAACAGATGTGGAAACTGAGGCTTGAAGAAGGGAAGACACTCCCCCAAAGCTGTGCAGCAGCAGGAACAGAGTTTAGATCTCATCCATCTGGCCTGAACGCTCAGTTCACTAAGGCTGTCCCCCAGAGTCCACTGGCATCTACTCATCCAACCAGCATGATAGGGAGGAATCCACAACCCCTACAATTCATGAGATTAACACAAATGGACATTTTGGAATTCTGGGCCAGATGGTTTGGGAGAATAAACCACCAATCAAGGCAGATGGAAGACTTCACTAGCCTTTGTGTTTTACTGTGATTCAACTCATAAAAGACTCTTCTCCTACCATGAAGGAAGCAGGATTAATGGAAGGGATTCATCTTGGAGCACATTCTCCTGCCCCAGTCCTTCCCCCACCTGGCCTAGGATAGAGTCTTCTAGATAGAATCTGAGTCTTCTAGATAAAATCTGCCCTCAGGAATTTCCTAGACTTCTGCCTTTTCAAGAACCCAACATTCACAGGGAGGCAAAGGAGGTGTTGGAGGTAGCAGAATGGACAGGGATGTGGATTTATATTCCAGCTCCAGTCCCACCATCCATGTGGCCCAGGCAAATAGTTTTACCTTCTCAGGCCTCAGTTTTGAAATCTGTAAAATGGGGATTTTACTGGCTGCTCCTGAGAGCTCAATGAGACAAGGGTCATGAAAGCCCAGCACCAAGTAGGTGCTTAGAGGTGCTCAGAAAGTGCTCCTGGGATCTCCCTGGGGAAGGGAGATCATCTTATAGCATGCTAGGGAGGTTATAGGTATAGGTGAGGTGAGAGGTGCTGCACCTCAGCCACTCCAACTCCATTCTGGCCTTTGAAAGCCCCACAGTTCTTGTCACCCTACACCTTGAGATATGCTCCCCATCATGCTTAGGACACATTCCATACCATTTGCATAGTCCAACTCTGCAACCTCATCTTGTAACACCACTGCCTTTGCCATGCTCTGCCCCACTGTCCTTGCATTGAACACACTACGCCTGTTTTACCTTAAGATCTCTGCATATGCAGTGCCTTCTATCTGGGATGAGCTCTCCCCAGATCTTTGCCTAGCTCCCTTCTTCCTTTCCTTCAAGTCTTCAAGCAAACTTTGCCTTTCCATAGAGACCAGCCCAGAGCATCCTAACTCAAGTAACTCCACTTCCTACCCAGTCAACCACATTCCCTGACTCTATTTTCATCATAACATCACCATCAGAAAGTGTCTCGTTTATGTGTTTGCCTCTTTGTTTAAGGTCAGCGTCTTCTACCAGACTGTCAGCTCCATGAGGGCAAGGCTGTCGCCTGTCCTGCCGGTCTGTGTTCTATCAGCACCCAGGACAGCACCTGGCTCAGAGCTGTTTCTTAACACCTATTTGTTGCATGGGTGAAGGATTGGATGAATAAATGAATGAATGACTATCCCTCTGCCTGGAGTACCTCTACAGAGTTAGCTCTACTTTTCCTCCAAGTCTCAGCTTTGCTAATCTTCAAGAAAATGTTCCTGATCCCCTTACGGGCTTGATCAAATGCTCCTCCACTATGCTCCCTGGCATGGCCCTTATGTGAATGGCAATTGTATATGTTTGTCCATGTCTGCTGTTAGAATATTAATTCCTTGTGGTGTAGATGATGCAGAAACAACAACATCTCTCATTCACTGTGAGAATTAAATACTGCCATCAATACCGCTAATAATAATTACCATTTCTTGAGTACCTAGTTCACACCAACCACTTGTCTATTTGCTTTTCATGTATTGTTTGAATGAAATGATATATGTAACATGCTTATCTTATCCTCTGGCTCATAATAATAGGTCACTTAATAGTTGCCGTCCTTATTTGTAGTAATATTAGCTAATATCTACTGAATGATCATTACAGGCCAGACCATGTTATGCATTTCACAGCCTCATTTAATTACCACAACTCACTAAATTAGGGATTCCATTTCACAGATGGCAAAACTGAGATCCAGAAAGAAATCACTTACCCTGGGTTACACAGGTCACTAGTGGAGGAACTGAAGTTTAAGACAAGGTCTCTTTAATTCCAAAGCTTGTGAGCATTCTTCCATGCCTTGCCCAGCAATTTTATATATTTTATAAAGTACAGAGAGAAGGAAGAGAAAATAACAGCATAGCCCTGAGCCCAGGGCTCTCAGCAGACAGCCTTTGGAATCAGGCAGTGCTATTAAGAAAACACAAATCCAGCCTGTCCTTGATTAACTTATTCAGAATTCAGCAAGGAAAGACAACATATTAGATTAACGCTAATAAAAACGAGACGCTTCTCCGACCTGACGCTAAGCTCATTTGGTTTTCTCCAAAGTTGGTGAGGGCTCTGCTTGATGCAGTGATCCAGGACTCAAGCTATAGAGGGTTCAGAGTCCATCATGGCCCGGGGGGAGGGAGGGAAGAGCTGCACTCAGGCTGGGCTGAGGCTCGGCATGAGTCTGAATTCCTTGGTGCGACTGGCACCTACCATGTACCAGTCATTTACCTAGGACTCTCTGGGTTCACATGGCCATGTGAGAGCCTGCACTTTGAGCAGCCACATCAGGGTTCAGATCCCAGTTCTGCAATTTGCTGGCTGTGCAGCCTTGGGCAGGCCACTGCACCTTTCTGCCACTCAGTTTCCTCTTTAGGATAAAAAGTACATCAGATGGTGTCATCGTCAGAATGATTACGTAAGGTGAATCCAGTGTGTGCTCTCTGAGTACCAGGTGCTGTTCAAAGCATTTACATCTATTACATCACATAATCTTCATAGTAATGAAATAACATAGACATTGTTATTAACTCCATCTTATAGGAAGGAAACTTAGGCACAAAGATTGCTCAGCTGGAGGAGGGAGCAAACCAGTAAGTAAACCAGGTGTTGTGAGTCTTACACCTGAACCTCAACCACTACATCACATCACTTCTCAGTGTACAGAAAGTACATGCCAGCTATTATTATTATTATTTTGAGATGGAGTTTCACACTTGTTGCCCAGGCTGGAGTGCAGTGGTGCAATCTCAGCTCACCGCAACCTCCGCCTCCCTGGTTCAAGCGATTCTCCTGCCTCAGCCTCCCAAGTAGCTGGGACTACAGGCACACACCACCATGTCCAGCTAATTTTGTATTTTTTAGTAGAGATGGGGTTTCTCCGTGTCGGTCAGGCTGGTCTCAAACTCCCAACCTCAGGTGATTCTCCTGCCTCGGCCTCCCAAAGTGCTGGGATTACAGGTGTGAGCCACCATGCCTGGACTATTATTATTATAATAAGCTGGCACACCACCTTAATACACACCAGGTGTTATTATTTATACTGTAATTTTGCAGGAGAAAGTGGAGAAGTAGAGGTAATGTGACACAGCTAGTCTGGGGCAGAGCCAGGAGCCAAACCCACTTTGACTTTAAAAGCTGTTCTGCTCCTATTTCCATGAGATTACAGACAGGCTTGGGCTGAGTGTGAAGATGGCCATGAAAAGATTTAGTCTGCATTTTTTGGAAGGATAGCGGGGGCATCCACTCCTCATCTTCTCTAGGGCTGCAGGTTACTGAGGTGCTCTGTGTCAGGGACTGTCCATATTCTCGTTTCAGCTTCATATCAAGTAAAAATATCAAGTGTCATTTCACAGATGAAGAAACAGAGGCTCGGAGAGGTTCAATTATTTGCCCAGTATCACACAGCTGCTAAGAGGCAGAGCTGACTCCAGCCCAATTTGATCAGAGTCCAAAGCCCTTATTCTTAACCACTGGACTTATACTACCTCTTTCTTAAAATATATGATTTCTAACTCCATTCGTTCATTCATTCACTCATTCATTCATTCATTCCATATTTATCAAACACCTACTACATGTCCAGATCTTTGCTGGGAGGTGGAGACACAGGAATGATTCAAGCACAAGTTGTGAATATTCCTCAGAGGAAAAAGCTGTGCTTTTCCCCATTATAATACCTTTTCATTTTATTAAAAATTCTTCCACAAAAAGCCAAAATTAATTCTAATTTGTAAAAATAATGGACAATACTAAGAAAATCTAGAAAAGTTTTGGGGGACCCCAAGGGAGGGACCCCATTTGGTCATGGGGTATCACAGCTGGCTTCCTGGGGGAGGAGACGGGTGAGTTTAGTCTGCAGGATCCTTACACCTTGACCAAACTGAGTGGTTCATCCCTCCTCCTCCAGGAAAACCTAGATATGAGCAGTAAGTTCCCCTGCCAGTGCAAGGAAACCCGGGCAGCACTGGGTCGTCTTCCAGAGGGACCACCTTCCTGGGTTCCACAGTATCCCCAGAAGGAGAAAAATTATTTCTTGTGTCTTCCTTCTGTGACAGACCCTGTGTGACAGAGCCAAAGCCCAGATTTGAACCCAGAATGATCTAACTCCCAAGCCCATGCTTATTTCACTAAGCTCTACTGAATTGAACAGCATGACATCTTCTCACTTGCCTCTAAGGAGAATGGAAGGCTTAATGTCTTCTAATTGTTATCAAGAATGACTGGCTCAATGCACCAAATTAATGTTACCTAGGTCACTCTCAACAATACTTCCATATTAGTTTTCTCAGGCTGCGATAAAGTATCACACACCGGGTGGCTTAAACAACAGATATCCATTCTCTCACAGTTCTGGAGGCCAGAAGTCTGAAGGCAGGGTGTTGGCAGAGCTCTCAAAGGCTCAAAGGGAGACTCTGTTCCATGCCTTTCTCCTGGCTTCTGGTGTTCCCGGCCATCCTCAGCACTCCCTGGCTTGCAGCCACATCACTCCAACCTCTGCTTCCGTTTTCATGTGACCATCTCCTTTGTGTCTGTGTCTTCACACAGCCTTCAGCTGCCTCTGTGTCTTCATATAGCCACCTTCTTATAAGGACTCCAGTCATATTGGACTGGGAACCAACCTACTCCAGTTTAGCCTCATAATGTAATTCCATCTGCAATGACCCTATTTCCAAATAAGGCCACATTCTAAGGAATTGGGAATCAAAACTTCAACATGTCATTTTGGGTGGGGGGAGACAGGGCACACAATTCAGTCTAACAACCCTACTAGAATTTTTGCTCTCACTTTTCGGGTGGAGAACTGCTCCTCCAAGAGCTTGAGTAATATTTGAGGCTATTGCAGCATCATACGTGGGATTCTAACCCAGATCTGGTTGACTCCAGTACAGCATGAGGCCTCCTGTTTGTGAATCTGTTCACAAACTATAAATCAGAGGCATACAGATTAGTTCATTTTAGCTACAAATCACCTTTATCGAAGAGAGCAAAATCTCAGGAAAAGATTAATTGTAGTAAAAGAAAAAAGTAAAGGGAAAAAAAGTGCCAGCAGGAGGGTTCTTTTCAGATGTTGGTTTCTGTATTGGAGATAAATAGCAGCTGGGGTGACTGCCATTTCAGCACTCTTCGGATGGCTCTGGAGACGAGCTGATAGATTATGTGATCTCAGCCATTAATCCACCCTCAAGTGGCCTGTGATTTTGTCCCTGTTTTACATATCTGACCTCCTATCTCCAAGAGATTCTGCTACCACAGCAGGATTTGAAGGTGGAGGAGCCTGGAGGAATGGCTAGAGAGGATTTTAGCAGGCTGGCAGTAACCACACTAACTCTGGGAACAGGGACCATGGTCTTCATTCAGTCTGTACCAAAGGTCCAGGGGATGGGGTCACCAGATCTTGCCCAGGGCAGGAAGGAAACTGACTCAATATTGATATCCTGATCCATGCAGCTCAGCCCATTAATGGGGCCATGATGCATAACATGCCTGCGTTTTCCAAAAGCATCAACAAAGAACCATGTATCTACCTCTCTCTCCTGTCGACAGATAAGGAAACAAAGTCATCCATTCATTCAACAAGTTTTTGAGCACCTGTTGTGTGGGACATCTCAGCCTGATGCCTGGTCAGGTGGGAGGGTGAGGAAGGGGATAGAGCACCATTTAAAAGCCCAGGTTTATAAAAAAGAATTAAGATCATACTTCTTGCAGGAACATGGGTGGAGCTGAAGGCCATTATTCTTAGCAAACTAATGCAAGAACAAAAAACCAAATACCGCATGTTCTCACTTATAAGAGAGAGCCAACTGGTGAGAACACATGGACACAAAGAGGGGAACAGCAGACACTGGGAACTACTTGAAAGTGCAGGGTGGGAGGAGGGAGAAGAGGAGGAAAGAAATAACTATTGGGCACTAGGCTTAATACCTGGGTGATAAAATCATCTGCACAACAAATCCCATGACATGAGTTTACCTGTATAACAAACCTGCACATGTACCCAGCACTTAAAATAAAGCTTAAAAATAAATAACTAAAAGCCTAAGCTTTGAGGAAGATGGATCTATGGTAAAAATCCCAGATCTTCTCCCAGGGAACCGCCCTACTTCCCAGCTCCATCCTCCTCCTGGGCAGGTCTCTCTGGAGAGACACCTCTTCCCAAGACACCTCCTCCCAAGCTTGGACTCAGTGTGGCACATAGGAAGGGGCAGCTTTGAATAGACAGACCTGGGCATGGATTTGGCCAGAGACCCTCACTGTGGGGTGAACTCGGGCAAGTTGCTAAGCTTGAGTATCAGGGTAATAGTTAGTGTGCCCCCCACCCCCGCTTCCCATAGTACCAAGGGACAAAAATCCAGCTTGAACCAGCTTAAGCTAAAGAAGAAAATGCATTGTGTCATGTCATCAAACTACATGGGTTCATAAGAAGTTTGTGAAGACTGAATTTTTAAAAAAGGAGACATGGCGCATAGTAAAGTAGATAGCACATAGTAGGTGTTCAAAATATGATAGTTTCGTCTCCTCTGTTTCTGTCTCTCTCTCCCTCTCTCTCTCTCTCTCTCTCTCACACACACACACACACACACAAACACATACACATACACACAATCTGTTGATCTGATGACAAAGACCTCAGACTATCAAAATAAACCAACCTTTTCCTCTCTTCCCTTCCCTCTTCCCACTCCACCATCCCTCCTTTTCTTCCTTCTTCTCCCTCCAGCTCCTTCTATTTTTCTCTCCTGCCTATCCTACTGTACATGTTAGACATTCAGTCCTCTAGGGAAGGCTGAACTGAAGTTAGTGTGCAGCCCTTGCCCACATGACCACAAAGTGCCCTCTCCCAGCTCAGGTATGAATAGCATTCGTGCTCCAAGTCAAGGGCTATGACTCCGTCTGTGATGGGAGGGGCACACACTGTTGAACAAGCACAGAGACAAGACCTGGGCTTCTCCAGGGCTGTCAGTGTCTGCTGTGCTGTTCCAGGGAGGCAATGTTTCTTTTAAAGGTGGACTGTTCTTAGTCAAGCAAATCACCTCTGTCTTATGAAGGAAATTCAAGGTGATCAGGTCAAGGCACATCTCCAGTGGGGCTGAAAATAACGTGCACTCAGCAGAGCCCTCTCCAGGGGCGCAATTGCTCAGTAATGAACCCGCATTCTCTGCTAGATCATGCTCTCTACCACAAGTAAGTGGGGAAAGAAGCTGATGGTTTAAACTAGATAGCTGCCTGGCCAAGGAATTGATTAAGTGGAATTTAGTCTTTTCTTCAATCATTCCCTATAAGGGACACTTAATTCCAAGTGCTGGCTGGATCCTTTGTCTGATCTCTAGTTACTGATTTGGGGGTCTCATGGGCCTGGATTTAAACCTTGATTCTGTGAACAATTAGCTGTAGGCCTTAGGGAGGCCACTGCACCTTTCTGGACCTCTGTTAAGTCATCTAAGATAAGAGCATGACAACGTCAGTGTTCTCCACTTCACGTGGGGGCATTAGGAAGATTCCCTGACTCAAAAAGCCAGCAGTTCAGAACACAGGCTCTGGAGCCAGATCGCTTGGCTTCATCAATTCTGAATCCACACATAGAAGCTGTGTTACTTCGAGCAAGTGACTTAACCTCTCTGGGCCATTTTCTCTTCTGTATAAAATGGTAATAATATTCTCATGGGATCATTGTAAGGATGCAAGGCAACAATATATATAAAGCACTTACCAAAGTGAATGTCCAAATAATAGTAATAATTTCTAAAACATATGGGAAAAGGCACTATAAACTGTGAGTTTAAAGACACTATAAACAGCTGTTTTCATGTATGGGAATTACTGTTTACCATAAAGTATAGGAAAATGTTGACTATTTTGAGAAAACTAAGTGTATGATTTATAATTGGATGGTTATTTTACATCATTTAAAATTTTCCTTTGAATGGGAACATTCACCTTGCCCTACAATAGAGGCAAACTGTAAAGTACTTTACACAGCACTGTGAATGGTCAGTTTCTTACTCTGCTCGCCTTAATTTGATGCCTATCATATGCAAGGCACTATAGTAGAAACTTTTACATAAATCATTCTATTTTAACCTCATTAGATTGTTACTTTTGTTCCTGATTCAAGTAAAACTAGGTCTCTGAGAGGTTACCTGGCTTAAACTTAACAGGTCCATGCTAGGAAGTAACCATTTCAGAGGACCTAGACCTTGAGATAGCCAAGACCAGGGTGCTTTTCAGGGAAAAATACATGTCTTAAGGCAGCTTGTATAAATGGTAACATGTCAAATGTTGAGCCTTTTAGAGCTGTCTTAATGCAAGAAATGGAAGCTCTATTTGGTGCTTAGAGAGTGGCCTTGGCTTGGGTTCCTGGATGCTCAGCTGTCACCAGGTAACCTCAAAGGCTTGGCTGCAGCCCACAGAAGGGTTCCCTCCTCTGTGTTGGTCTCCACTGCCCTGATTAGACCAGGTTCTGCCAAGACAAATGACTTTCAGTCTCTCATTTCTGCCCAAAGGAAGGGCTTGACATTAAAAGGTCAATAGGTCACATAACTAGAGACACACTGGTGAGGTTTCCTCCTTTAACCCTTACGGCTTTGTCCCCAGCCACCTCTGACTTTTTCCTTTCCCCAAAGCCAAGTACATCGGCTGCTACCTGGATGACACCCAGAGTCGGGCCCTTCGAGGAGTGTCCTTTTTTGACTACAAAAAGATGACCATCTTCCGTTGCCAGGACAACTGTGCTGAACGGTAGGGTCCCAGCACCCCAGACTTGTCCATTTCAGGCCCTTCCTTCTCAGATTGCTGCCTGTGGTATTCTTTGTCCTGTCTTGAAGGGTGAGCCATGACCACAAGGAAAGGGTGATGGAAGGGTGTGTATGCGTTGTGTGTGTGCATTGTGTGTATGTGCACATGCACACAACTGGGGACTGAGAGTTGGTCTATGAGAGTTTGTGACTGTGCAACTGTGTCACATTGTGTCTAGGAACAATTTTGGAGCATACAGGGTACAGGGTCAGCTAGTTGTGTTTGTGAGCTTAATGCCAATATGCAGTGATCTTTAAATAATAGTGGCCGTATATGCAGGAGTCTTTGTAAAAATGTGTACAAGGGCCCAGAACTGTGCTTGTGTGTGTAGGTATCTGATTGCATTTGTTGAATGTTCAACACTGTGTTGAGAGCATGCAAGCCTGTGAAGAATTGCACACTAGAAATGCATAATTAGATGTGCGCATGTGCGTGCAGATGAGGGCTGTAAGCATGAAGCTTGTAAGATGTCCGCATGAAGGGTAAGGTGGGGGCATCTAATGGTTTGTCAAATTATAAACTCCTCATTTTTCTCCAAGAGAGAGACACTCGACTGTTCAGACAGTATTTTCCAATCTCAGATGATGATGATTTTTTGACATGCACTGGGAGTAGGGGGAGGGAGTTGACATTTTGAGAGTGGACAAGTCCCCAGAGGCCTGGTGAACAGGGGAAAAAACCCCTGGGGGCACCATGGGGCTGAGCTGAGCTTCTCTCCTTCTTTCTTGGAAGTCTTGACCTTGTAGTAGCTCATGAAGAGGCTCTCATATGCTTACCTCCAGGCAGATGCCTCTGATGGTCACAAGTTCTGCCAACCTCAGCTGTATGCCTGGTGTGGAAATGGGCAAGTGGGTGGCCACTGAGAGACTCTTCCTGCTGTTCTTGATTAGGAAACACTGTCCCCTTTATAATCAACTGCCTGGGGAGGCCTCTATTAAAATCCTGAGCCTAGGACCTGCTCCAACTTGAAAAGGATTCCAAGTCTTTGGTAATATAAAGTCAATAAGTTATCTATCAAACTTGAGGGCGGGGGAGCAGAGGAAACAGAGGTGGAATCCACACAGCCCCTGGCCTTAAAGAGCTCACAGCCTGCAAGGGGAGACAAACATGTAAACAGAGAGGGATAACACAGTCAGATAAGATGGAAGAATCACAGACAGTTAGACATGCAGACGAGGTCTAAGTTTCCTGGGGTGAAAGGAAATACTTCTCAGAGAAGATAACAGCCAAGATGAGTCAGAGCTACTCATGTAATTCAGTTAGGTTCAGCAAATATCTGCCCATGGGTGCTAGACCTGATTCCACATGCTGGAGATGCAGAGATGAGCCACCCACAGCCCTGTCCTCAGGGTGGTTTCCCATCTGGATGGGGAGATAGGGGCATGAACAATAGGCATGGGCAGTAGAATAACAACAGCTTACAATAGTTAAAAAGCACTTGTTCTGTGCCAGGCACTGTCTGAGAATTTTGCAAATATTAACTCTCAACTTCACAAGACCCCTATGAGGTAGCAATGTTATGAGCCACATTCCACAGATGAGGAAACCAGGGTACAGAGACATTATGTATAATGGGTGCTGGGGTGGATGTGCTTTGCAAAGTGCAGGAAAGTCAAGAAGATGGAAGGGATGGAGGGCTCCACGAAGAGGGTACAAGAAGAGTTATAGAGGTGAGACCATAAGCCGGGTTTTGAAGGATGAGTAGGAGTTTTCTATGTAGGGCAGAAATAACATCATGCTCAAAGGCCAGGACTCCTGAAATATACTCACTCAGGTAGGCAGCATGGGAGTGCTCAGAAGGCACAAAGGGAGTGTCAGCAGGGGAAACCATAGAGGTGTCAAAAGCCCAGTGAAACGGAGACTTGAGAGCCAACTAAAGCATCCAGATTTGACCTGGAGGGCAATGGGGAGCCACTTCAGGGTGTCTATCAAGGAAGGGGTCTACATTCATTCCGTGAATGTGTATTAATCATCTCTCATATGCCAGGCATTGTCCCAGGATAGGTGGGCAAGACCACAGGGTCACCGCCCTCCTGGAGACTATATTCTAGAGAAAAAGGCAGGCAATTTACAAAATACATTAGAAATCACTAAGATCATTTCAAAAGTGATGAGAGCCGGAAGAAACTAAAATGGAGTGACGGGATAGTGGCCGGCGTGAAGGGTAACATTTGGTGAGGTCATCAATGAAGGATTCTCTAGGAAGATGCCTAAGCCCCGACCTGGAAGGTAAAAAGAAACCAACCAGGCAAACAGCAGAGGAAGAATCCTTCAGGCAGAGAGACAGCCAGGACAGAGGCCTTGAGGAGGACTGAATTCAGCGTGTTTAAAGATCAGAAAGCCAGTGACTTCAGCAGAATTGGCCTTCAGCATCCTCCAGCAGAAGGCTGGTGGGCATCTTAGCCTGTTTGGGATGTTAGAACAAAATGCCTTAGACTGGATCATTTATATGCAACAGAAATTTATTGCTTATAGTCCTTAGAGGCTGGGAAGTCCAAGATCAAAGGTGCCAATAGATTTGGTATCTGGTGGGTGCCCACTCTCTGCTTCAAAGATGGTATCTTGCTGCTGTGTCCTCCCATGGCAGAAGAGCAAAAGTACTCCCTCAAGCCTCTTTTATGGGTTCCCCTGTACCTCAGTTCTCCACCATCTCAGACTTTGTCGTTCCTACTCCCGGAGCCAGAGCAAGCAATGCTCTTTTCATTTGTTTACAGAGTGGGGTAGCCACTAAGAACCCTTTTTAGTAAAGGATTCCATCACTATGAAAATTTTCAAAAAAAAACTTGAAAACCTTGCAGTGCCTGGATTTTTAGTTTGAGGAATTTTTCCTTGGCTGAATGTGAGAGCCCATTTTTGTGCTCCCCCAAAGGAGTACGAGAGTCCCTGCCTCCTTGATGAGCACCCTGTGCCTCCTTCCCTCACCCTAGCTCCTCTCATGGGACAAGGAGGCACCATTCCTGGGTGATGTTTCCAGGAATAAAGGAGCTACACTCTGGAGAGATGAATGTCTCAGGTTTCCAGACAGGGAAGAGCAAGAAAGAGAGTGCAGTATGGGAGGCCACAGGATCTGGGATGTGTGTGTATCTCCAAGTGCAGGTGTGAACAGGAGAGTGTGAATATGGACATGGTGTGTCATTGTGGGTAGGTGTAGAAAGGTGGAGATGAAGGCTGGTGGATGGTCCCTGGGTGTTCCTGTCCCTTCCCTGGGTGTTCCTGTCCCCTCTCTGGGTCTCCCTGTCCTCTAGGGGCCAACCTATATTCTTTCTTGGCTTTCTTGCCTCCACACTGCCCCCCTGCAAGGCTAACTCTGTAGCCTCCCTGACTCCTTTTGGGGTCTCCTTATCCCAGACCCATATCCCCCTGCCCCATGGAGACTCTCACAGATCTGAGAGTCTCCCTGACCACCTCAGGGTCTCCCCTGCCCTCTTTCCAGGGTTTACTGTGTGCTACCTCCCTAATCTCATTTCTTTGGGGTCCCCGTCTCTCCTGAAAGCCCTCATCTCCCAGGTTTCCATAATGGGTAGGTCTCCTGTCCCCTGAGGTCTTTCCTGTCCCCTGGGGTCCTCCCAGTTGCCCCCACCTCCCATCGGCAGTCTCCCCATTTCCCCGGGATCTCCTGGTCCCCAGAGCCCTCCCATACCCCAGGTCTCCACATTGAGTCTCCCTGTCTTGGGGTCTCCATGGTGGCAGCCACCCTGCTTGACAGCAGCCTCCCCCAGGGGTTACCTGTATGCCGGGCTGGAGTTCGGCGCCGAGTGCTACTGTGGCCACAAGATCCAGGCGGCAAACGTGAGCGAGGCAGAGTGCGACATGGAGTGCAAGGGCGAGAGAGGCAGCGTGTGCGGCGGCGCCAACCACCTCTCCGTCTACCGGCTGCAGCTGGCCCAGGAGTCAGCCCGCAGGTGTACGTGAGTCTGCCCTGCCCCTCTCTGCTGCTCCTCCCTCGGCTGCAGTCCTTGTCCATCAGAGTTAAGAGTCCCACATGTCCACCCTGTACCCTCCATGGCTCCCCATCACTCCAAGGCCACCATCATCCTGCCCCAGCCTTGCCTCTCCCAGTCCCTCGCAGAGCCCTCTGCCCCAGCTCCTTTGAATAGTCCCGCATGTGATTCTCTCCCTCCCACTACTCTGAGCTGCCTCTGGTACCAGCTGCATCCCTCATTCTCACCAGTCTTCCTCCTTCTGAAACTGAGTTGGAGCCTGGGCCTTGCCTTCCCATCCTGATTTTCACAGAGCAGATTGTCCCTAATGGTGATGGTGATGGTAATGACAATAGCAAACACTTTGTTTGTCCTTTTCTCCATGCCTCATATAGAATAGCACATCTAATCTTCACAATGACCCTTGACACAGGTACTATTGTTTACTTATTCCCATTTTACAGATGAGGAAACTGAGTTCTCAATGTCACAAAGCTTATAAGCAGAAGAATTTAAACCAACTCTGGAGCCTTTGATGCTTTCAAAGAGAATTCATCCTGGCTTATTCATGCTTCTGGTTTGAGTCTTGTTGGAAAATCTCTTAGTTTCCAAACCAAGAGAAGGAGGGGGTGAATAAGAGGACAAAGATGGCTCTTTGTCTGTGGGCACTGTCCCATTATTGTCCCCTCCTAGGGACTGGAGAGGAGTGTTTAATAACAGCTAATAACTATGTATCAATAATATGCTGCACACCAGGCACTGTCCTAAGCCAATTACAGACCGAATTTCATTTAACTTCCCTACAGCCTTTTCAGGGCGTTACTGTCGTTCATTATCCCCAACCAGTCCAAGGGTTACATCATCTAATTCCGAATGACCTTAAGACCTGTGAGAAGAGCTAATGGGCTTGATGAAAGATGGGGGGACTGACCTTTCCGGAGGTTACACCTCCCATGCAGTCCAGAGACAGAAGCAGAAATCCACAACTGCTTCTCTAGCCCTCTGGCCAGTGCTTCCAGATTTGCATGTGCCTCAGAGTTCCCCTAGGAGATCTCGTAAAAATGCAGATTCTAATTCAGCAGGTCCAGTGAGACGCCGCATTTTTAAGGAGCTCCCAGGTCATGCCAGGATGCTGGTCCACAAACCACATTTTGAGCCTCTGTGGGTCTCGTCCAGAATGTAGTCCTGCCCACCCCGGTGGCTTTAGCAGAAATTTAACAGCTAGTCTGTTTGCAGAGAAAGGCCTCTTCCATGTGATTTCATCGTTTATAGAAACTCATTGTTTGTTTGCTTGAAACACTGAACACATTTTCAAGCAAACAATGAGTTTGTTTGACTCCATCTCTCTCTCTCTCTCTCTCTCTCTCTCCATATATATATATACATACACATATACATATACATGTATACATATACATACATACATACATATATATATATATATATATATGCAGAATGCAACATGGAGTGCAAGGGCCTCTACCATGAGAATTTCGTCTCTCTCTCTCTCTGAGAGAGATGGAGTCTCACACTATCGCACAGGCTGGAGTGCAGTGGCGTGATCTCAGCTCACTGAAACCTCTGCATCCTGGGTTCAAGCAATTCTCCTGCCTCAGCCTCATGAGTAGATGGGATTACAGGTGCCCACCACCACACCTGGCTAATTTTTTTTATTTTTAGTAGACACAGGGTTTCACTACGTCGGCTAGGCTGGTCTCAAACTCCTTACCTTGTGATCCACCCACCTCAGCCTCCCAAAATGCTGGGGTTACAGGCATGAGCCATCACGCCTGGCCTCAAATCCCATATTTCTGAAGCTCCATTCAAGCTTTGCTGTGCAGTGGGGTCAAACGTGCTGTCAATTTACAGACTGGCTGGTTTTTCCAAATGGACTGCAACTTCCACCTCCCCATAGTCACCTCAGCTCAGATATGAAGGCCTAGGAGGGCAGAGGGCAGAGGGCAGAGGTAGTATGTGAAATACAGGCCAGAGACTGTCCATAGAGTGGGTTTCTGGTTTGGCTGCTAATGTTATGAGTTTTTAACTTGGTGGAAGATTTATCACCTTCATAATCAATCAACTTTATGTCAATATTTATGTTATTTAATAGCAACATTTGGACCATCTGAAGAGATGACCTTAAAGACAGGGATATTTAGAGAGAAAGCTGCTGCCACTAACACATCCTAGTGTATGAAGCTGAGATAGATAACAAGAATTGGATTGTGTATGTCATTAGCCAGACACTAGCCAGACCTCCTTTTGGTTAACATTCAGGTTGGCTGAATAATCTGGACACACTCTCTCTCAATATCTTTCTCTCCTCTCGCCCCCCTCTCCTTCTCTCCACCTCTCTCTTCTTTCTCCCACTCACCTTCTTCCCCCTCTTTATCCCCCTCCACACACTGCTGTGATCACCTTGTATTATATAATAACATCTTCACTGACCGTGGGCAAGCTGGGTGGCGGGGGGACACTGCAGGCAGGAATGCTACTGCACCCCTCACCTGTCCCCTTCTGTGTGGCACAATTATTTGGGTGGTGCTTTGTACCATCTGAGAATAGAATTTTTGTATTATATCCAAGAGGACATGTTTCAAATCCAGTTGGCAACATGGTATACAAAGAGAGCACTGGGACAGTTCATTGAACCAAAACACTTGATGAGGTATGGAGAGGCTCAGTGGTTAGTAAAATACAATGCCTGACCTCAGGAAGCTTGCCATCTCATGGGCAACAGACCTGATACTAATGGGATTGGTTCAACCATGTGTTAGAAGGATAATTTTGTGCAGACTTGATGCCAGTAGGATTGGTTGAACAGAGACCCAGAGGGCTATGGGGACTCTGTCTTTAAGAGCCAAGGGAACAACTTTTGAGCTGAATCTTATTCTAAGAGGATTCCAGGTCAAAGGGACAGCATGTGTTCTAACTCATGCTCAAAAGTCCAGAGTCAGCAAAGGTCATGTGTTGAATGCTATGTTGGAAACACCTTTCTCACTGATGTCTGCATTTTACATTTGTAAAAACTGAGGCTCAAAGAATAGAAATGGCTAAATTTAACAGCACTGTGGGAAGCTCCATATAGGAGGGGGCAGCTCGATAAAGGAGGGTACATTTGATGAGAGCCTTGAAAGATGCATAGGTTGTTGCCTGGTGGAGGGGAAGATACGCAGATTCAAGACAAATCACCAAGGAGTGGGAGAGAAAGTAGGTAAAGCGAATAGTGCACAAAAGCTGGGTGCCTATTACAGAAAATGATTGGCAGGTATGGTTTTTCCAAAGCTACTGTGCCTCTTAGGGACTAAGCGTGGCTGGAACCCAGGTCCCTGAATCCCAGTTAGAGTACACTTGCTACAGCACTGTAGACACCCTGACCCTGAATTTGGTTCAGAACCCCATCTTTTCTCTTTGGGGGGAATTCCTTGGCTCCAGCTCATCTCCTTCCTTCCCTGTCCCCTGATCCCTCCTTCCACCTTGTTTCTAGACTCTAGGCAATATGAAATCTGCAATGTCTCTGCTCTGACTCAGTGGCAACTTCAATTTCCTAGGACTGTGCCTAGGATTTGCTTTGTACACAAGTCAGAAAGGGATGTCTTCCAAGTCACTGGCACACAACTCTGGCATGTATTACATCAGGCGAGAGAAATGAGCGAACACTCCAGCAAACAGCAATGGAGGAAACCAGATTTCATTTGTAGAGTCGTTAGTTGGTATTAACACTGTGTCCTAATTGTGTTTTCCTGAGCAGTGGCACAGAACTCTTAATGACTGGAGAGATCTAAAGGAAGCTTATTATCTCCCAAGCACCACTTTGGTGGGGCATCTGGCAACACGCACAGGTTGCCAGCTTACGTGTTTCTGAGGTGATGGAATAGTCCAATAATAGTGAGAGCATTAAAAGGTTAGCAGAGCAAATGTCTGCAGGCACCCTGCTATGCTGCCTTGACACAAACTCTTGGGCACGTGGACTCTTTGCCCCTGTTGCAAAAGAACCGAGAAATGGACTTCCTTCTTGGTCAGATTACATTTTTCACAGCAGTTTGCTAAATGTGTCGGCAAGCGTAGCTCTTCTCTCAGGGGTAAAGACCTGATGGTGGTTTGAGAACATTATAGCTTTATGGGCTGTTGCAAGAAATTTCATTTGCCTGAAGGATTCTTGCAAGATTTGGGTTACAAAGTTCATCAGAAATAAACTGAACGTGGCTCGTCAGTCCCATGGGTGGCTGTCCATGGTGCTGACCACCCTTTAGCACTGCCTCAAATCCCACTGATGGCAAACCAGCCTCTCCTAGGGATCTGTACTTTTTTCCTCTTGTTTTTTCCTTCCTAGCTTAAGACATTATGAAGCTTACACTATCACTGAAAAAAATAGACACCTTATTTATGGTTCACAATTTACATGGTGAATTTTGTGTACTGTTGTTAATTCTGGCAAATTTGTCTACCAAAGTTAGAAGGAGAATTTTGTGCAGCGCTTTGCTTTATGTTCACTGATACTCCATTCCAACTACTTCTGCTGAGAGGAACACTCAGATGATCAGGGAAGAGTCACAGTTGCCTGAAAGCCAAATGTGGGAGAGCAAACCAATTCTCTCCCATGGACAGCACCATGGGAGCAATGCAGGTTTTAGAATCAGGCACACAGTGTTTCTATCCCAACTCTCTCACTGAACAGCTGTATTGACTTAGGCCAAGCCACTTCTTTCCAGGCATCAGGTGCCTCATCTATAAAATAAAGACAATCCCAATCTTTCACAATTTCTGTGGCCACCAAGTGAGATAAAGTCTAGAAAGCAACTAGCACAGTGCCTGTTACAGAGTAGCTTCTTCCTAATGGAAGCTCCCCAGTTCACTCCAAGAAACACCCAATTCAAGCCATTTGAATTTCCAACAGTCCACAGGAGCCTTTGGTAATGTCTAAAAATAGCTGGTTTAAATTCTCTTTGGACAGTTAGGCTCTTTGTGTAATTCAATCTCTCTC